GCAACTCTGAATTAGGTTAGAGAAGCGTACAGTGTTGAGCATGCGCAAGAACAGAATGAATGTTTCCCGGGTGATGTCCTAAATTACAGCATCTGATACTTGAATTTTTAGAGGCATCACTAGATTCAAAAACAGTCCTTTTCAGTGAAAGATTTATCTCTCACTATGCAAAAGTTGTTGGGTTTGATTTTTTCTTTTCTTTCTTTGAAGGTATGTTGTATTCCGTGTTACAGAAAGAAATGCTTTGTGGGAAATGTAGTCTCAAGTCTCTTGATTTCTGAAGGCTGGTATTAACAGTTCAAAATAAAATTACTGGCACACTGGAAAACAACCTTGCAGCATCCCAAGCCTTTAGATGGCCGGGTTATTTTGTTAACCTTTCAAAGCTCTTATTAACTGGAGTAAAAGGAGACAAATTTTACCTTTCTACTGAGAAATTCTCTCACCACAGATGCAGCGACCTCCTCCACAAAGCAGTTATCCATTTTTATCCCGAAAGGCACGGGGGTGATCTGTACTTGATCTGACATGAGTCAGGCAGGGTGTCCCTGCTTTTCTACCCAGCCGTTAACTCCTTGCATGCCTGGAGCGGAGGGCTCAGGTTGCAGCCCGCCCCGTGTTGTCACTTGCAGTGTCATGGCTATGTTGCCACAGAGACGATGTCATAAGGAGGTGGGGAGCTCCTCCCCCAAGAGGAAGTGGATAGATTCTCCCAAGAAATCCTGCGAGCAGCTGTGTCCAGTGATGCAGCTCATACTTGTGTCACAAAGTGAGGGTGCTTTTAAAAGCCATGTCCTGGGACATGAACTCCAGAACTTCGGGTGCAACTGGGAAGCATTTTTAAACTAAATTGCTGCAATGTGTCCATTGATTCTAATGATCGCTTCAAGATGCACGTCTAGAAGCCAGTTTTTGACAGTTTTATATGATCATAATTGAAATCTGCCTGTTGTTAAGTGGCGTGGGACTTTGGTTCCTTTGGATTTAGGATGGTTAGATCCTAAAGTACTGTTTTATTATCTGTAAAGCTGGATGTTCAGCTACTTTTCTGTGCTTGTTCTTGCAAAGATAATGACTGGAGTGAAATGGGACTTTCTCTTTTTGTCTTTACTGAATTTGCAACAACTTAATCCTTGCAGGCAGTCTCCAGAATGCTGCTTTTGGGGGTTTTGTTTGTTCCTTTTGGGCATTTTGCTGATTCATATCTTCTCCAGATTTGCTGCGGCAATAACCAGCGTGCTCCCTGCCTTGTATTGAATGTCTTGAATTTATATGTTGCTGTTTTTCAATGTTGCATTTGCTGCTTTATTTCTCAAACATCTATCATAAAATATCAAACAGAGTAAACATTGTGCCAGCTAAATTCACCTTCAAGCCTTGTACTAGGTATTCCTCCTTTGCTGTTTTGTTTTTCTAGTCTTTCAGTAATTCCCTTACTTCCCTCCATGAGCCCTTCCAGTTGTCTCTAAGCCTTGGGAACACATATCTTTTCCGTGACCTGGTAGCCTCGAGGGGGAAAGATGCTCAGGACTTGCAAAACAAGGACAGGTCTCACCTTCTCCAGTTGGATAGCCTCGCATTAGGAGTTCCTAAAAGGAAAATAATTACTCCCCCACTCTCCCAATTTTTTTAAGGTTTCTCTTGTTATATATGCAGCTTGACTTAAGCATATACACCAGTGGAGAACTCTTACTGCTTTGTAAAGGCTGCTGTTTCATGTGGGCAGGAGTGGTGCCCCCTAAGCTTCAGTAGCTTAACTAGGGGCGCTTGTCCATGTAGCGGTTTTCCTATGTATACATGACAAATCACCATTTCACTAGCTTAATATAGTCTGAAGATGCACATTCTGACCTTGATTATGGTCTTAGTCTTTTTTTTTATCATTATTTAAACCACCTCAGGTGTTTTATTTTTAGTGTGGGAAATAATGCCAACAGGATTATTTTTATTGTAGTAGTTTTTCTGTGTGTATCCAACATATGGCCAAAATGGCATTGCCCCTGCTCTGCAACAGTTTCTCCACCAGGTGCCACTTAGCTTCATTGGAAAATTCCTGGACTGTCTGTTGCAGTGCAGCTACAAGACTCCAGGTGTGATTTTTGCAAATCTTTACTGGTCAGGCAGTTCAAGGTTCAGGTTGATTTTAAAAATACTATTTTTTGGACTGAGCGTTCTTCCTGGTGTTCTCATGCAGTTCCAAAAAACCCTCGGCCAGCACTCAAACGTTTCTCTAGCTCTTTACATGCCATGCTTCCCTGAACCCCTTTCCTCCCCTTGCCCCACCCCGCCCCCAAGGGTGGCTCACCCCATACCCCTGCAGCACACTCCTTCCTTCACAGCACAGCCGGGTCATGCACACCCACAGTATTTCTCCCACTCTTCACATTTATTCATTTGGAGCACACAAAGACCTATTTGACAACTTGGGCTGTGGGCTTTTAGCCCACTAGGTTACCGTGGGCTGCCGCTGTTGGGCAGCGGTGGGATCCAAGCCTTTAACTGATTCCAGGGGACAAAAAAAGGCAGTGCCAGTGAAGTCAGAGGGTTAAAATTAGTGCACCCTCAGGGGACACAGAGCAGAGAGAGCATCCCGGCTACTGCCCACCGACTCAAAGGCAGCCAGAGAGCCAGCAGCAACCGCTGAGTGCTATGCCTCTGATGCAGGAACAGAGCAGCGTGCTGCAAGAGAAGAGTGAGGAAGGTAAAAAACACAGTGGCATTTACTGGCTAAACGCTGGAAAACAGTGCGCCCTCAGAGATTTGGTACTGTGGAATCAGGACCGAAAAACGATTTGAGCACCGGCCCCGCGTTTCGTAGAGACAGAGATGGATGTGTATATTTGTTCCACAACAGCAAATAAAATCACTGCATCTAGGCAGCAATCAACTGCAGCTTGGCCAACAAGATTCAACGAATGAAATATATATATATCATACTTATTTTTCTCCACAAGTTTTTGCATTATACCTTCCTGCCACATTGGCTGCATTATCGTATGCCTGTCCTCTGCACTTAATCTAGTCAGCTTTGCAGTCATTGCCTATATAATCCAGCACCATGCTGACCATGCTTTCACCAATATGATTTTCTAACTGAATGAGTATTGGTGTTCAGTGGGAAAACCATTGGGTGACACATATTTTATAGTAACAGTTGATCAATGTTCAAGATTTGGGGTAGAGTCAACAGGCGAACTGAAGTCTCCTGCTTTTCTCAAGTCATCCAAAATAGATCCTCTTACTTTTTTTGCCATCAGCTGGATGAGTTCATCACGCACAGGCAACCCTTGCTTAACGCTCTTAATTGGTTCCCGGAAAACCGAGTGTTAAGCAGAACGGCCCTAAGTGAAACCCATTTCTCCATAGGGCTTAATGTAAATAGAAATAATTGGTTATTTCTTCTTGCTGTAGATTCTCCCCACCCCTCCGCCTGCCTGCTGGCCACTCTGGTCCTACGTGCTGGCCCATGCCCTGAACTCCTGCCTGCTCTGGCCCCCTGCGGCCCTGCACTCATGCATCTCTCTGCTGCTGCTGCTCCCCAACCCCCTGCCCACCAGCTGCTTGTGCCAGCCAGGACCCACCCTGCCCTGGGCTCCTGCTGGCCCTGCAGCACTAGTGCAGGCCCCAAGCTCATGGCTGTCTGTCCACTTGCTGCCACTCACCGCTTCTTGCTGCCACTGCTTTGCTGAGCGGTATACCGAAACTGGCTCAGGACTAAGTTAAATGTATGAATTTTAAATGAGCGCTATAGCAAAATCTTGCTAAGTGAAACTGTGTTGAGCGGGGGCTGTGTGTATTGTTTTGGACGATTATGAAGGCTTGCCAGATCCACTGCTTCCATAATGTTAGCAAGAAATGGATCAACTTAGCAAAGAGTTCAGTCAAGCCAAGAAAGTTCCCGTTATGTGGCGATCCAAACTTTCCATTGCCTCTTCTTCCCCTAAAAGCTAATCCATCTTGTGCTAACATGCACACAACTGCAATAACACATTGCAGTACATGCCTCCAGTATTCTTGTTCCTTTTTCATTTGTTCCTCCAGGTGTGAATCCAAGTTTAACCCACATTAACTTGTCAAATATGTAAGCAAAGCTGTTCTTTGATCCTCAGAGTTCTCGTGATTTTGAGTTCCAACAGGGTTTTTGCCAGCTATTAAACCTATTGTTAGGCAGTGCTGTTGACAATGTCGAGAAGAGCTTTCAGAAAAAACAGTAACCACAACTGATTTTTGGAAAGTATCTTAGACACTCCCAATTGTATTTTTCACCATTGACTCCTGTTGAATGAAACAGGATATTTGAACAACATCTATCTTTGATTTCTCAAACGGGCCATTCCAGTGTTGACACTCTAAGGGACTTTTCTGTATCCAGAATGAAGTAC